CAGTTTTCAATTCAATAATGTAGCATTCACATGTAGTAGTTGTAGGTCTATAATGAGGAGAGAGTTTCAGTATTAGTAATGATAGTTTTAACCATTTGGGGGACTTTTCAAAATACATTTTTATGGAGATCTTTTGTTTTGAAATCACCTAAGTCTCATTCTGCATCCTTCCCTTTCTCCTCTCCCACAGAGCCATCTCACATACCAACGAAAATTTTTTAAAGAAGAATAAGGAAGAGAAAAAATAAATCAACAAAAATGATTGATACATTAATCAGGAAAAAAAATCTGATAAATGATTCAATGTTCCATACCCATGAGAGTTGCCACCCCACCTCCAATTCTGCAAAGCAATAAAGGGAAATGTCCTCTCCCATAACCCGACTCCTTTGCTTCGTTCTGCATCAGTTCATGTTAAGTCTTTCCATGCTTCTCTGTATTCATCCTGTCATTTCCTTCAGTAACATTCCACTATATTCATGTACATTTGTTAAGTCCTTCATCCAAACGATGGATATCTACTTTGTTTCCAAAGTAGCACTTCGGTATTCTGGTGAATTTTATTGAACAACCAATAGCTAAAGACTTTGTACAGCAAGATGTTATCTGCATCCATGAGAAATCATTGTGGAGAGAGGGACCATCTTCTTCATCACCACCAGCAACAATGCCACCACCAGGCTGATGGGCACAGGAGCACTGGAAGTGGCCATATCCTCCAGAGCACTAGTCCTGCTTCCAGCCCAGCCCTCACAGCCATCATCTTGGGGAGCTACCCCTGTGGAAAGGGGGCCAGTTACCCCCACCTTCTGCCAACCAGCTGCCACCCGGACCTGAATCCTAGCTGAAGCAGCAGGGGCACCAAGGAAGAGACAGGAAGCAGCATGGGTCAAGCAAGGCAAACTACCACCTCCATCATCTTGATCTCCATCTCCCTTCAGACCCCAATGGAGACAGCCCAGAACCCTGAACTAAGGAGCCTTGGGAGAAGCCAGGCCTCCAACCCAGTGTCCTCGGCCACCATCCTGAGAAGCCCCTTCTGGAGTGATGCATCTGAGTCACTGCTCCTTCAGGGGCTAGAGCCACAGCCACTGGAGACCCAGAAAGGAAAGTTCTTGTCACCAAAGACCTTGGCCCTATCCGAAGTTCAACATCAGAAACTGATGATTTTATCAGTAGAAATGACATTAAAGAAAAAGCATCTACTGTGCCACTGCCCCCTAAGAACCACAGGACCTTTCCATGTGACCTTTCCACGTGACCTGTACCTCAATACTTCCTTAGGTGTTGTCTTCCCCATTAGAAGAGCAAGGACAGTTTGTGCTTCTCTCTTTATAGCCTTACTGGTTGGAACAGTGCTTTGAATACAGCAAGTGCTCACCAGATGCTTCATTCATTTTCTCTCCTGACTACTGATGGCCACTCCTGCAGCTGTCGATTTTACAATATCTGGAATAGGGTTTATAAGGTCCCTTTGATGGAAAAGGGAGTTTGGGGGAAGACCAGTCTCTATGGGGAAGGGTCAGGGCTTGTGTGATGCTGAATCCAAAGATTTGAACCCCACATTTTCTTCCCATGAATGTTTTCTTCCTTTTCTAAAGTTCCCTTCCTCCTTGTAGCATGGCTGTTGTAGACATCTGCATTTTTAGAATGTAGTTATCTCATTTATTTATGTTTTGTATTCAAGAACTGCTGACAGTCTAGATGTGTAATAAATATGAAAATCTGAAAAATACAGATGCCTAAGGAATAATAGGCAGATTTAGCTTAAACACTCTGAGGAAGATTACTGAAATTTGTATGAAAAATGAGATTTGCACCAAAGTGAAAAGACACACTTCTAAGCAGTGTATTTCTACTGGGATCCATTCCTCAACGTACTTCAGGGAAATGCTGGTGATTCACTTGAAACAGTCTGAACATGATTCGTCTTCAGTCCAGCCTGCCAAGAACTCAGATTAAACTATTGTAGCAGCTTTTCCCAAAAGGGTGAGAGCAGGTATGTGTCCACAGGTCTTGAGGCATACAAACAACACAGGGAATTCATTCAATGTTGTTGACTCTTCTATGAGCAGGCCTTAACATGAGATCAGTGTTTTTTAAAAAACCAAACTCAGTCTTCTCATCTCTAAATACACATGCAAGAAAAGGAGATCTATGCTTAAAGTGTGTGGCTTTTGTTCAGTAGCAAGGCAAAGTAACAGAGTTCCCAAAGTGTTCCATTACTTACATATACTTCTTTCCAAAATAAAATATTTTGCTATTATTTTCTAGTCTTAACATCCATCCATACTACAAAATCCTCTATACCTACTAGCAGAAATACAACTGTTTTGTTCTAAAAAATAATAATAATAATAATAATAATAATGACAGAACAAGATTTCAGGCAGGAAGACCCTAGGCCAAGCTTCGGAAGAGGAGGAATATTTTATGCCAGACTGTGTTCCAGGATTCTCAACCATTTTGCCTATTTTTTTTTCTTGGCCCAAGGAGAACAAAATAAGACAACTGATTACACCTTATCGCTACTATTAAAAAGAACAACTCAAGGTCTGTTTGGTTGATAATGGATTTATTTGACTAGATCATTTCCAAGGTCCCTCTAATTCTAAAATGCTTCAATTGTATGACCTTGAATTTTCTTCAGTAACATCTTTGATGATTAAAAATAAAGTTATCACCATCTGCTTGTCAGATGAGAGCAGTATGGAATGGCAAACAGCCAGCTGGCCTCAAAGTCAGGAATTCCTGGGTTCAAGTCCCACCCTGACACATTCTGGCTAGGTCTATCAGGATGAGTCACTGAAATTCCCTGTGCCCAGGTAATTCCATAAGATCAAAAGGGGCAGAGAACGTGCCAATGTAGAAGGAGTCCCTCATTAGTCCTATCACAGATCCGGTTAAAAGACAAATCAACAGAAAACCTTGGGCAGATAAAGTACTGTGATGACAGTTAAGGACTTTTGAAAAGAAATATGCGTTGCCACTTCCCTTCAGGCATCTGTGATTCCACCCCTGGGGGTCTTATGTTGACCAACACAGATCGAAAGTCCTACACGACCTAATAGATAGCTTGGGGGATGTCTGACAAGACTCTCCTTCACTCCGATAGGCCAAGAGGCTAACAAGCTCTGTGAACTTTACAAGGCGTTGGGCCAGTACGAGAATGTGAGCTATTACTATGGTTTCAATGCTTTAAGATTTATCTATTTGAAAATTTCTTAATGACAGAATAGCAGGCTTGGTTTTTTTCAAATATTATTAAATGAAATCTTGATTAAATAGTCCTGCCTATGAAGAAACCTCAATTAGATCTCACTGGTTTTTTTCTGTTTTCTAAAGGAGAAAAAGGCCAAATGATTAAGAAAGCAAGCTGAAATCTGAGACTTATTTTAAAACACTAATTCCCGTCAGGCCTTGGACTCAGTACATAAGGGCAGGACGTCACGGAAAGAATGCTCGACTTGGAGCCGGGTAAAGACCTGGGTTCAAATACTGCCTACAACACCTATTATGTGATCACATGCAGGCCATTTAAATCTCCTAAGTCTGTAAAACGGGGATGATGCCTGCGAAAACCGCTTCATAAAGTTGTGAGGCTGAGAAGACATGGTGTGTAGCAGGCGCTTCACTACCCTTGAGGGGCGATGCAAACGCCAATGAGATTGAGCACTTCATCACAATACATGTGCAGAGCGATGACCCAAAGAGGAACTGCAAGATCTCTAATCAAAGATCATTGTCTGTAGAGCCCACTTTCACTAAACCACTTTATAAAATCTTCAACAAGGATGAAACAAATAGGTTTACGTTAAATAGAACTAGCATTATGGTCTTAGAGACCTGAAACGTTCCAAGCTGATCAGAACTAGGGACTAGGTTGTTGAATGTATTCTTTAACATTCAGCTTAACAAAGCAGGAAATTATTGACCAAAATCAAAACCAATTATGTAGTAATAATATGTTATTCAAAAACTTTCACTAATCATACCAACACTTGATATGAATATAAAGATAATTTTTTCCCATCTCTCTACTTTTCCACTAAATGGGAAATATCACTGCTTCTGAAAGTCTTCGAGAACATAACCTTCAATTAAAAACATGTACTAGTAGGAAAAACTACCATTCAAGCAAGGAAAAGAGGATTACACGTGAATCTCAGGAGACTGAAAACAGTAAGAAACATTTTTTAAATGTCATCCATTAACTGTCATGATTCCTCATTTACATTATATATGTTCGCTTCTTAAAAGGAGACACGAGTCAAGCTGCAATGTCACCCGATCCTGACCATTCCAGCATTAGTTTCAGCCTCAGCACAGTCTCAGGAAGGGCTGCAGAGAGTTACAGCCTCTATGGGTCTCAAGTGAAACACCAGGAAACCTGCACTTTCCGCCCCATTTTTGCTAGGCACGTGATCCACTTCTCAGGGAGACATCTCTGTTTTGGCTCCAATTCTCCTAGTAATAGTCCTCAAGATTTTAAACATAGTGAGCTTTAAACAGAAAAATCACAAAGTCTGCCTTGTTAGAACAGGATTATTCTAATCTCAGTGACAATTATTTCTAAGCATAAAATAAATTATATGAAAATGTGGAATTTCAACTTGTTTTAAGTATGTGTGTATATTTCTATATGCTCAAGAAACAGGAAAAAAGAATATTTAATACAAGTCATTCTTGATTATCTGCAGTTTAATGGGTAGCTCAGTTTTTCTGAATATTTTTCCTAAAACTATATGCTCTTTACTGTCACACTCATAATTCTTTTTATTTCCTTAAACAGAAAGAATCCTTTATCCCTGGGGAAATACCAGAATATATTGGGCATCTGAGAAATACGATTAAATTAACTTAATTACTTCACGTTGACTTGATAAGTCACTGCTCGTTAATGCAAAAAATGCCACTTGCGATTAATGGCTGTTGGTCCGGCTCAATTGATCAAGTGTCTGCTACACATGAAACATTCAGGGAAATGAAGTCATTCTTACAGCAATTCAGTAGAGAAGTCTTGTCCCAGGGGCACGTAAATCTGAAGTACAAGAAACCGCTGGATCAGGCCAACTAGAGTAAAGAGGGGAAAAGAAATGGACAACGGCGTGAGGACCAGGACAGCCATATATACACACACTCTGCCACAATCGTCTGTCACAAACAGGCTAAATCTTCTACCATTTCAGCAGTACAGACCAAGTATGGTAATAGTACTGCTGCTGCTACTGCCTCACAACCGGAGCAAAACAAATGAGAATTTAAAAAAATAAATAAATAAAATCAAACTTCAACCAAAACCCTGCTTTCTTAAAGTCTCATATTTAGTCTTAGTGAAATTTTTATGAAAATAAAAAACCTAATTTTTTATTTACCATTTTTATTAGGTTATAAAAGAACGAGCACAACGCACTATATTCCCCATAGGGACATAAACCTGAACTACAGAATCCCATCAAAGTTACCAGAAAAACATGGGGAAATTATTTTCATTCTCTGACAGTTTTAACTTTATTAAACAACTTAATAAAAACAATCAATCACAAAAAGAATTACAATTAGGACAGCCGTGCAAGCCAAAGCTTGATGAGCCATATCTGGCTCATATGGTTAAGTTTCCAAAGTCAACTGAAATGGGGAATTACATTTTCATTTATAATGCCAACTTCTGCGAATATGCTCATGGCAAATGAATCACGATCTTACACGGCATCAGAGTTGTAAAATTTAAATATGACTCCTCCTCTCTAATTGCAGTTGGATCAAAGGCATCAGGAAAAGCAGCAGTGTCTTGTGATCTGGTGAAGCCAGCTACTACTTAGTGTACAAGCCCTCGTTTCTTCCGTTAGACCTCAGACCAGCCCACAAGCTAGACTGCCTTTTTTCTGGGCCAAGATCTGTTACAAGGTCAAGGAGGCTGCTCTAGGTGGGAGACAGATGAGTCTTGCTACCAGTTCTCTTTCAATGCAGAAAAACAGTACATTATTAGGCAGCAAGGTCAAAGTGCATTCAGAGAAACAAAGTCTTCAAGGGTCCCTCTTTACACTAATTTTGTTGCTGGTGATCACACTATCAGCACTGTACTTTCAAAAAATAAACAACTGCCAATTCTCCAATAGGTAAGTACAAACAGCTCTCAAGATCAGTACTTATTAATAATTTTTTAAAAGAATGCTCCAAATTAATAATAAGAGAAATGAAAATCAAAACAACTCTAGGGTTCATATGGCCCTCAGAAAATTGGCAAAGTTGACAAAAGATGGAAACAGTTAATGTGGAAGGGACTATGAAAAGACATGCATGATTATACACAGTGGGTTGAGTTACGAATTTGTGAAAGCATCCTGGAAAGTACTGTGGAATTATCTGAAGAGGGACAAAAAGTGCCTATCCATTGACCTAGAGATTGAGCCTCTTATACATAAATAACTGGAAAGAAACAGATGCCCATTGACTGGGGAGTGGCTAAACAAGATGGGGGGTACATGAATGCAATGGAATGTCATTATACTCTGAGAAATAAGCAGGACTGGAATAAATGCAAACAATTATGAAGGGAAAGAACTAAGAAACAGGATACACAATTACAATCATGTACATGAGAAGAACAGCAAAAGAAGAATCAGAACTGAAGACAGCAAGACAAAGCCAAGTGGCCTGCCAAAGGCACCGACCTCCAGTTCTCCTCCTGCAGGGGGGGAACAAGGCCGATACTGGCAGACTTTATCACTGTGTTGGCTAGTTTTACTTACCTTGGTTCCCTTCCCCCCTTTTTAAAATTCTTTGTTATAAGAATAATGGGAAGGAAAAATGGTAGGTGATATAAAAGCAAAAGATAGCAATTTAATCTATGTTTGCATTTATATACAATCTATATTCATAATTTATAAATATATAATGTATTACTATAATTAATTGATATTTTAATAGTTAATTATTAATAATATGACATAAATATAAAAAGGAGAGCTCTGTTCGTGCCATTTTTGACACTAGAATTTATCCTAGACTTGCAGTGCAAATGGAACCTGAGATTTAGTGACTATATTTTCAGACTTGAACCAAAGAAGCGAGGGCTCCTAACGACTGTGGCCAGAAATAATAATCAAGTAAGGTGAAAGCACTATATATATATATATATACATATATATATATGTGTGTGTGTGTGTGTGTGTGTGTGTGTGTGTGTGGTGTGTGTGTGTGTGTTCATGTACATATATATATACACACATACATATACACACATAATGATATATACATATATATTACATATATGTAAAATTTATATCAACTTATATTAAAAGTAAGAAATAAAGGTCTGTACATATTCACAGGACAATACCATATATGCATATTTTGAGATAGTTCTTGTAACCAAAAAACTCTATAGTTTTACAACATTCAGTCAGCTGACCAGCATTTATTAAGCCTGGCATTGTGCTAAATGCTGGGAATAAAAAGAAAGACAGCTACTCTCAAGAGGTTCACAGTCTCAGGGGAAGCAACACTATACCATTCACATGCAAACAGGAAACACAAAGGTTAAATTGGCCATCATCTCAGAGAGAAGGCACTAAGATTAAGGAGGACTAGGAAAGGGTTCTTGTGTAAGGTTAGGATTTTCGCTAACACTTGAAGGACACCAATGAAGCAAGGAGGGAGAGGTTCAAACTTGGGGGACAGACTGAGAAAATGCCCAGTCAGAAGATGGAGTGTCTTATTTGAGGAAGAGCAAGGAAATCAGTGTCACTCATAGCAGGGTTCTGGAAGGGTATAAAGTGTAAAAAGACTGGAAAGGTGGAAAGAGGCCAAGCTATGAAGGCCTTTGAACAACAAAAGAAGTATATTTGACCCTGGAGGTGGTAGGGAGTCACTGGAGTTTATTCAGCAGGAAAGTAACAAAGTCAGACCCACAAAAAATACAAATAGAGAAAGAATACACATTTTGGTGGAACTAATGGGATGAGTACAAAAGCATGTGCTATAAGGATAGCAGTATCAAGAATGCTAAAGCTCACAATGAGTTGAGGCTGGTAAGAAAGCTAAGAACCACAAAAAGAGCAGGTTTAATTTTTGTGTTCTATTAGGAACTAGAAGTAGACCCAAAATGCAATAGGACCATTGCTTGGGGAAGAAGTAATGACCATCATTGATAACGGCGAGAAGGCAGTTACTCAACTTTTTGTTTGGTTTTTTTTTCTGCCAAGAAAAACAACCTCTAAACTTACACGATCCCTTGTTGCTAATAAAGAGCTGATAACCACCTCTGATGACTTCAAGTCACTAGCAAAAGAACTACTCCTAGAGCAGAGGTGTCCAACAGTGGGCCTGCAACATTCCTAAGTGTGAACAAACCAGATTAACAAGTCATGGGAAATATTTAACGAAACACATAAAAATACAATGTAACATAGATAATGTATTTTATAAGTGGTTTTCTAAGTCAATGTATGCCTGCAACCACACTTACATACGGTGGGTCCCATTCCTAACTGAGTTAAACACCACTGTCCTGGAGCACTGAAAGAACCAGTTGGTGTGATTAGCGAGCCACTATCAGAAATAAATAAAATAATATGAAGAATGGAAGAGGTATTACAGGCTTGCAGAAGGGCAAATTTCCTAACTTTGAAAAAAAAAAAGATACAAAAATGGAATCTGAAAACTCTAAGTCAGTGAGCTTGAGTCCTCCAAAAGTTCTAGAAAGCATAACTTAAAAGATACAGAAAAATAAGTGTTAAATACAAAGCGCCAACACGACTTCATCAGGAACTGGTTATGCCAAACCACTGTTACTTCCTTTTTGGACAGGGTTATTAAACTGGGAAATCTTGGGAAGGATATAGACAAAATCTGGCTACATTTCAGTAAAGCATTTCCTAGTTTTTCATACTATTCTTATAGAAGATGGAAAGGTTTAATTAAATGGCTTCAGACTTGATTGAATGGCTTGACCCAAAGGGTAATCATCAATGGTTCAAAGTCAATTTGAAGGAGGTCACAAGGAGCATGCCCCAGGGGTCTCTCCTAGGCCTTGAGCAGTTTAACATGTCATCAATAACGACATCACTATCTGCTTTCTCACTGAACCCTAAGAACAGTGGGTCCTTCCCACCTCACTCGCAGTTTTGGGAGCAGAGGCTGTGCTACTTTTCTAATTCTATCCTCAGCACTTAGCGGAGTGCTTTGCACACAGTAAACATTTAATAAACGCTTCATTCATTCATTCCTTCACAAAAGCATAGATATCATTCTTTTCAAATGTCCAGAAAATTCAAAACTAGGAGCAAACAGTGAATTCCATCAAGGAATCCAGTGAGAATGCTGGGCCAAATATAAGAAAAACTCTAATAGGATCAATATAAATTCTTGAACATTAAGTTTTTTTTTTAAATTGATGTCAATGGAAATTCCAGGTCATCATCTAGTCAGTGGGGTGTGGGGTGTATGTAATACTTCCCTCAGGCTCAGTCCTCTTCTCTGTTGTCTTCTTGTACAGTGCAAGGGCCTACATCCTCAAAGCAATCCCAAAGTGTGGCTGTTGCTGGATTCCCAAAGGTATCTGACTCCTTCAAAACTAATTCCAAGACATGTCTTAAGTCTCTCTCTTAGCACGAAGCACTTCACTCTTTCCAAGGATTTGCTCCCACCTAGTTCATACTTTTCACTGATTGAATCTACCATTCAATTCTACATTATCCTTCTCTTGTCATGGCTCCCCTCTTCTTTCATCACTGACACCTTGCCAACCTAAACTACCCCCACCATCTGTCTCTTCCACTCCTACTCATGTGATTTTGAACAGAGCTGGAGAAAAATCACAAAACCATGCTGACTGGATGCACTACAAATTTATGTTATCTAATTTGAACTCAGACCTCACTGCAGCAAGTCAAGCCTTTTTAATTCTCTCTAATGGATTCTCTGTCTCACTCTTCATAGAAGCTATTTCCTTCTCTTATTTTAATCCAGCATTTCCTCAATACATGTGCAAAACATGCTCATTAAGATTTTATAAGGAGGGGGAAGTAGTTAAATAGGGAAGTAGTTGATGTCTTCTCAATTACCTTTTT